CAGGGGGCGGAAGCAATACATTCACATTTTGTATCACTGAGGGTGTGTGTGTGTGTGTGTGTGTGTGGGAGAGAGGACAAATGATAAATGAATTTGTGATAAATGAAGCATGTGGCCAAAAGTTGAAAATACTTTTTACACACAGTTTTGGAATCCGTTTTTGGCAAGAAGCGGGAAATGGGGGAAATCCCCCCTCAGGGTGGGAGAGGGAGGGAGATTGGGGGTTTCCACTAAAGATATATCGAATTATGAGGGGGGGGAGGGAGGTTGGGAGGTAGAAAGGCAGCTCCGTTTATTGCCAGTTTCAGATATCAGAAGTCCGACAGTTTTTGGACAAAAGCTCGCTTCATTAACATTGGCTTTTCCATTTCCACTGATCCCCTACCGCCCCCTGTGTCTGTGTGTGTGTGTTCACCTGTTTTCCACCCTCCTCACCTCTCCTCCTCCTCTTCGTATTTTGTTATGCAAACTTTACTGGCATTTTCCAAACTAATGGAGTAGCAGCAGCAGCAGATCTTTAGGTCCTGCAAGTGATGGCAATGATTTGCTGTTCGATTTGTAAGCGCAATACACTCGAAAAAAAATTATAGATAATTATAGGAAGCATTACTAAATAAAGTTATTAAATTAAATTAATGTATTCTAGAATATTTAATAATAAAACTTTGAAGAAAATCTGTCTGGTCTTATCTAAGAAATACATCACTTTTTTCCGCTAGAATTCTCAACTAACCAGTAAGCGTATGTATTTCCACCTTATTTATAACTTTTTTTCATATAAATCAATGATTTTATTAATCAATTAAAGTAAATATATATTTTATAAATTTTTAAATATTATATTTACACATTTTAACTAATTTTAAAAATACTTCAAGGTTCCTTCTCTTTCTGTGCACTGCTTTTCTCTAGTACCTTCTTCTTTTTCTTTGAGAAAGTAGCCAAACAAGTGAATAAAACGAAGAGGAGGAGCAGAAGAAAGAGGAGGGTACAGAGAAGTAGGAGAAATGGGAAATGAAGGTGTGGGAGTGAGGACCAGAAGTGGAGCGATTACTTTTGAATAGTTTAACAGCTGTTCCAACTAAATGTGCGGGGGCCATAGAGCGGGAAAAAGCGAGAAAAATAGAGGGAAAACTACGGAGGGGGAAACTCGAAAGGGGATGCAGTAAAATAAATGGTCAAGTAATTGAGAATCGAGATTGGTGCGGGGATTAAGTTGAAAATGAGTGGCTCTTTTCACAGTGAAATAACTTTAGTTTGCAGCTTTTACAAGAACAAAAAAATGCATTCTCATGGGTATAATCTTGGAAAAAAATAAAAGAAAATAAATTAAATGTGGCCTAGGAAAATAGGTTTTAAAAAAGCTAGATTAAAAATACATATAAGTAAATAAAACAACTAAATAATATAACTTTACTGGACTTTTCTGTTCTAAATTCTCTGGCACTTTATAGTTTTGGCAATTTTTGTGAAAATTATATATTTATATACAACAAAGTTATAGCCAATTCCAGTCCCTAGACTCTTTTCAGTATCGTCTAGACAAGGTCTCAAGGTGTCCATTGTTTCGCGTTCTCTGGTCAGCGTGTGTGTTGCCATGTAAATCAATGCATTATTTTCCCACGTCGTTTTCAACGAACAAAAAAAATAAAGCCAAAAACTCATTTATCAGAGGCGGCATTTCAACAACAAAAGCCAGTCACACCAATAACAATAACAACAACAACACCAACAATAACAACAACAACACCAACAATAACAACAACAACACCAACAATAACAACAACCACACCAACATCAGCCCACACACACAACAATAACACCACCAACAACAGTGTAGAATATATAGAAGATGGGGGCAATATCGAACAAGAAATGAGCAGAATCATCATTTATATAGCCCATAACTAACCATTGCCCACCATATAAGTCAGAGTGTGTGTATGTGTGTGTGTGGAGTTAAACAATTCGTATGCTGATGATTATATAGGGTGATGCCTATTAACGCTTCAAATCAAATTAAATCGAAGCAAAAGTTTGGTTTATAAAAGAAAAGGTAGAAGGAAAAGGGTTTTAAGAACACGAACACGAACAAATTTTATGTTATTTTAAAATTCTATATTATATATATATTCTATATATTAAAATATTTAAATGAACCTTGTTTAAATCTCACAAACTATTGATTTATTTCAAAACAATTTATCAAAGAAACCACCTTCTAAAATCAATAATAAAACGTTATATGTAACGTCTTTATACATAATTCTCAGAAAACTAAATTATATATAAATATTATATAAATTACTCCCACAACATTCAGAGCATTCCGACTTCGTCTTCACCCCAATTCCAATTCCAATTCCAATTTCTAATTCTTTGATATCTGTTTTGTTTTTATGGTGGACAACAATGAACATTTAATTTATGACCAACATTTAATTGCGAAAATGCAGCTTGTTTGTCCGGCTTTTCTAGGGCGTTATCCGACATATATATATATATATATATATTATCCGACATATATATGTATATTTATATTCCCGAATATATATTTCAAATAATGACCACAAAACTGTCATTAGACACGGCGCATAAACAGCAAAAAGAACAGTGTGGGGAGACAAAAAAAAGGCAGAAAATTAAAGTGGATGGCAAACAGAGCGCATCGATGGCATTGAATAATAATATTTCATCGCTTCGGCAACTCCTTGGGATACTTCTTCTATATATACATATATATATAGAGATATATATATCGTGTATATACCTTCTTCTCCACCTTTTTCATTCTGTTTGTTCATAATTTGTTTGTGCATGAAGTGTTTGTTGTACTCCGAAGGAGGAGGAGGAGGAGTGAGGTTTGTGCATAATTCCATTGGTTTAATTGATTCGAAAAAAAAACGAAGAAGAAGAAGTTGAGAGGAAAAATTCAAATCACGAAAGTGTTAAGAAATCGAGCGAAAGAAGCCTGAAGAATCGGGAACCCTTCTATAACCATCTCTCGTTCTTCCTGCTCAAACAGGTTCTGTCAGCGAACTGTGAAGAATTCTTTACTTTATTTTTCATAGTACAGAGAAATAAAATTTAAGGAAAAAGCTACGAAATCTTTCAAAATATTACTAGAAAGCATTTTAATAGCTCTGAAATTTATTAAAACAATACTATAACATGACTAGATTGAGTTGTCTGCGGACGCTGATAAAAAATATCTAATAAACTTCATAATTTAGGTTATTTTTAATAGAAAAAAGTTTCAAATAAGCTAATTTTATTTAGTTTACAAGCCATTACATGACTAGATTAAGTTGGCTGTAGATGCAGATCAAGAATATCTAATAAATATCACAATTTAGGTTCCTTTTAATAGAAAAATGTTCAGAATAATCAAAGCAACACTCCTTTATATATAATTTATTTCATTTACAACCTCTTGAAATATATTTATTTAAATTCTTATATCAAAAAGTCTCTCAAAATTTCTCTCTCTGCTGGAGTTTCGTGTTTTCTTTTGCCCCCCTCTCTATTTTTGAACCTGCGTGCCCAAGAGTCAACATTCCTACCTCTCTTTCTCTCTCTCTCTCTCTCACACTCTCTGTCTCTGTTTAAAGTGGAAACCTGTTTTCTCAATAATAAAAACTAATTTATTTACTAGTTGTAGGTACAAAGAATAACAACAAACAACAACAACAACAAACAGCAGAAGCACATATGGCTCACAGGTCCCAAAGAAAACGACTGAGAAATATACATACATTTACTCCAAAAACCATGGCGACAAAATACAAAAAAAAAGAGCAGGGAAAAAGGTTCAGAGGTACGGGGACGGGGGGAGAAAACTCGAAAAAACTGCGTGTGTGGCTAATCAGAATCAAATTGATTTAAATTTGAATGGTTCGATGGGTAAAGTGCGAGTTTAAAAGGTGGAAAGGAGGGGTTAATGGACGGGGCAGGGAAGGTGAAGATTTGAAGTGAGAAAAAAATGCGATAAGTTCCCAAGCGGCTCTTTTTCTTTTTATTTTTTTGGGTATTTTTTTGGGAGGTTTTTTTATCTGTACTTTCTGATTTCGAACCAGTTTTAATTTTAATTTATTGGTTGTTGGGAAAAAGTGTTTCAAGTTGCAACTGCAAATGTATTATCTAAGAGGATTTTTCTTATGAAAAGCTAACTCGTTTTTGAACTAGTTACCTAGGGTTTTAAAAGAAAAATGCGTCAAGATATAAGATATATATTTTTGAACTTTTAAACTTGTCTAAAATTAACAACAGATATCTTAGAATTTTTTTTTTTCAATAAAAAGGAGAATTGAAAGAAATTTATGCAAATTACCTAAAATTTAATACTAGAAAAATAAACATTTTCCCCCAAATTAGACCCAAAACTCTTTTTCTATTAATCACAGGTAAACGCTAATTGATTTGGCAAATATTTGTAGATCGAGTACAAAAAAAACAGAACACCCGAAAATGAAAAGCCAAACAGTGAGAAAAACTCTGAGTTTTTGGTTGGAAAATTTCAAAGAGTATGTGTGTGTGTGTGTGTGTGTGCAGCTGCCAATAGCGGTCGATGTAATTGTTGTTGTTGCTTGTGTTTTTTGGAAATTGCAGGCAGGGAAAAGCGGAAAACTGAAACTGAAGCCGTAGCTAAGGCTGAAGCTGAACAAAGAACAATACAACGAAATACGAAGAAAGTATCTTAAAGATACCAGCGCAGTGCACAAAAGCCAAACAAAAGCGGCGGAAGTAACGGGTGCGGATAAGGTAAAGTATCTACGAGTCGAAAGCGCAAAGTTTTGCGCTCACTTTTGACACAGTAGATGCGAGCCACCAGATACAAGAAGCCAAACACACACAATCCAAAAAGATACAGATACACGGATGAGTCAGGGACTTGAGGTTTGCTTTTCTTTCGGTGTTTGGGGGTTAACATTCAGTCCTCAGGGGTTAAGGAGGCAAAAAGCCCCAGTTGACAACAACAACAGGTGGCTCTCTCCACTTACCTGTCTGTTTATGTTTTATGCTTTTCCAGGTTGTTGTTGCTCTTCGTTCAATTACTCCGACTTGCCGCTTGCTTGTATACCTTTTGTTTTTCCACCTGGTCCAGGAGTCCCGTAGCTGGACTTTATTATGCCCTGCATCCAACAGATGCGCACCAAAGTTGCCAAAGTTACCAAAGTTATGCTGCAAAAGAAGATCGCAGGCAAAGAGTTAAGAAAGGATGGACTTGAGCAAAGATTTTCCCAAATGTAAACAATAATAGCCAAGCAAATTGCTAAACAATATTGCATACATAAATTGAAGGGGGGATTGATATCTCTTCAGAGATTTTCCTTTACAAATTGAAATGAATTAAGACAAGTTGTGCAAAGGACTTTCTTAACATTTATTCTTCTTTTTTATTTCAATGAAATATTTTTTTATACAGCTTGGAATTTATCTGATTTTGTAGTATGAAAAGAGTGCGTTTTGTATAATTTATCTAATAATTTCCATGATTTTATTTTGGGATTTTACAGCATTCTTGCTTGTTATAATTTTAAATGAAATATATTTCTTATAAGGCCTACTTTTAAGCTTTAAAATTTTTCTTTTTAGGTCTAAAATATATCTCTATAATTTATCGAATAATTTCCATTTTTTATGGACTTATGGCTTATGGTTATTCCCATCTCATTTAGCATTATGATTCACTTGCTTATGAATATTTATCATATTCTTTTCATTTACAAAACTTTAACAATAAAAAATTAACACTTTTATGTGGACAATCCAGTTCAGCCGGAATTTAATTCCCATTCGAAACTAACAACTTTCTGAGTCATGGCCAAACCACAAGCTGAGATTTATAGATGACAGGAGGATATCTCTACTTTTCTTTTTTAAACCATTTTTAAAGCCGTTTTCATTTAGTTTCTTTCCTCTGCTATTATCCCCTGGACCATGACCCCGGCTTTGGATGAACCTTTCTCTTGGTTCAACCGTTGCAAAACTTGCCTCAAGTTCAATTTTCTTTTGTTCTATAGAAAGAAAAAATGGGGGGTTAAAAAAGAGGCTAGTAAATAAAATTGAATGCGGCAGCCGACAAAAAGAAGATCAAACTTTTGCTAGACTTGGCAGAATTTTGCAGTCATTGGAAAGAAAAATAAATTAAGCGCTAATAAAAAAAAGACTTTCTGAATGCCTTGATACCTAGGTTTTAGCTTAAATTTGGACTAGAGAAATATTTAATTAAGTGAAAGAATTAATTTGAAAGGTTAAAAAACCTATTTTTTATCAAATACATGTCTTTAAGACAAGTTAATTACAAAGTGTTTTATAATAGAAACTTCTGAAGAGGGTTTTATAACTGTTATTAGTGTTATTTTTAAGACTAAGACCATATTTTATTATAAATTGCATTAATTAGTAATAATTAATAAATTATTTAGAAATATATATATATTTAAGCCAAAACTCCCCTGCTTTACCCATTATCCCCATGAATCACAGGCTGGAAAAGTCTACTGAAAACGGCGTGAAATACTCAATCGAATTAAAATGCATTCGAGTAGCAATGACACTGACACGCCCCATCATTCCGCCCCCTTTTCCCAAGCAGAAAAAAATCAAGCAAAATACGCAAAAAAATATATATATTTAAGAAAAATAAGAAAAGAAGCCAAGAAAAAGATATAAAATGCTACGAAAAACTGTGGCAAAAGTTATTGTAACTTTTGCCCGCTGGCAAGGCAAAGCCAATTGGTGGGGGATGAGGTTTTTCATTCGGTGGGGTTTTCCGGGGAGGGAGACATCCGTGAGGGTGGTGGAAACAGAAGAAGAAAAACTGCTACTGATACCAAGAAAAAAATCTGAGGCGCCACGCGCCTACTTGCGACGCATTTCCTTCCACATTCCCGTTGAAAATCCTCGGCGTTTTTCTGGTGACCTCAATCTTTAGTTCAATGCGTGACTGAATGGGGATGAGGGGGTGGAATGAGGGGGCAGGGGGTCAAGAGAAGGCGAAATCTGGCCAACTGTGACTTCCCCTACAGCAGCAATAACAACAACGACAACTTTTTACTGTTTTACACAACCAAATGTAAAAGAAAAGAATATTAAAGAAACCGAAGGTCTCAATACCCTATAAGCATATGTAACTTAAAAAACTGTATTATTTGTTAGCTATATACCCAAGATATATTATATTTCTTTATAAGTTGTGATACTTTTTGAAATATTTATTTATTTATTTATCTAAAGTTAAGAATTAGTTCTAAACTAAGAGCTAACTTAGGGTTAATAACTATAATAGCTCAGGTCTTTAGCTTGGGTTTTAATAATACATTTAGTTATTGTTAAGTCAATGCTTAATGTTATATATTTAGTAAGTGTATAAAAAAAACCATAGCAACCTTAAGACATATAAATTCCTTTAGTCCTGGGGACCTTGTGGCATGAGGACTTTTTTACAAAGATGCTTTTTAAATGATTAAACGCTCGCTCGCTCCAAATTACCGAATTTCTCTCAAGTCTTTTTGGCCAGGGACAAGTTCTTCGTTTTTTGTTCTTTGAGTTTTTTTCTGCTGTGTTTCTGATTTTTTTTATATTATTTCTTTTCTTTTTTGCTGAGATTTCATATGGAATGACATTAACTTGGGCGAAATATCACGCAGCGCCAAGAGTGCCCTTCTCATTAACATTTACCATTTTTTTTTGTTTTTTGGGCTAATCGATTTGAGTTTTGATTTGATTTCAGCTCGATTTCTTTTGCATTTTAATATGAGCTTTATAAAATTATAGAACTAAACGTTTAAGATAAAGATTGAATCCATTAACTTGAAATTGATATATTCATTTCAAGTTCTCAAGTACATTTAGAGTCTTGAAAGCTGTCGTAAGTCTGGGAAAACTTTCCCAAACAATCCATATAATATATATATTCACACGCAGTCAAGAGATAAGTTCTCTGAGGGGGATTTCCCAGCTTGTCGGCGACATATCAAAAATTAAAGAATTATTATTATTTTCTTTGAAAGATAATTGTGTCTGACATTTGCCTTTTTCCCAAAGTATTTCCATCGAGAAAACGTTGCAAAACTTGCTGACATGAAGTCATCAACATTGAAGTAATCGCCCCTCTGCATTTTTTTCCATTTTTCATTTTTTTCCAGGAGTGGAAATTGTTGGCCAGGTCAAGTGGTTGACCGTGAATGGGCAAAAAATAAAAAGTAGTAGGAAAATGTATATAAGAATGGAAAGGAAAACTGTGAACCACTGCGAGACAATTGTCATATGAGCAAGAGCATGACAAAAGTGTTTTTGTTTCCCCCCCCCTCATTCTGTAATTTTTCTTCTTTTTTCTATTTTGAAAAGTTTGCCACACACACAAAACAATTTGTCGCTTGTCAGATGGAGTACAAAAAAAAATAGGGAGAGGAGGTGGAGGCCTTGGTCACGGGGCGTTTAGTCAGAATTTTTTCAAACGTTTATCAGCTCAAAGCAATCAAAGTCAAGTTACCAGAGAACCCCTTTCCGTGTGACTCCCCCCTGCCTCCTCCCCTAAATCTTTTTCCACAAATTGAAAAATCATTTGGAAATTTAATATCCTCATTCTTTGTTTTTTTTTTTTTTTTCTCCCTCAATTAAAAAGACAAACTGCCAGGGAAAACTACAAGAAAAGCTAGAGCAAGGTGCCTGTAGTCTGTGTAAACTTTTATTTATCGTTTAAAAGGCTGGGAAAAATGGTCAACGGTAACACAATATTTAAAGAAATTATAAATAAAAGCGGGTAATCATACACCAAAGGGAAAAAGATATTAATAACCTTATTAAATAACTGCAAAAGTACGCCAAATTACTCATCAATTTCAGTTAATAAAATCAATTTAAATAGAATTAGAAGCTAAAATTCTTTATCTCAAGTAGCAATATATATTAAACTCTCTAAAAACTCAAATCAAAATAGGCACATTTTTAATTTCAACTTATATTTGAAGTCTCACAACGTTTTCATTTTTATTTTCTGTTTATTTTCATTTTTCGCATACGGCATTTTCAATAAAAGTTGAATAAATATAACCTTTAAGCGAAAGACAACACAGCAATAGGCAAACAAGAAGAAAAACACTACAAAATAATACAGAAAACAAAATTAAAATAACAATAAACAAAAAGAAAAATGAAACCCAGTTTAAAAAAAAAACCAAAAAAAAACTCTCAGAGATGCCTCAGCAAACTTTAAATTATATTTAATAATTACAAGATCTGTTGAAATCTTGGGTAATTATTTTAAAAAGCAACAAACTTCAAGTTCCAGAGTTCCCTGGAAACATTTATTTAGACTTGACTTTAATCTCTTGACTCTCACCTTTGAGTTTCCATTTATTATCTATCATCTCTGTGATAAATCTTTACTCCCAGACTTCTTTTCGATTTCCTCTGTTTTTTTTTTGTGGCAACATTGTTCTCAGCGACATTTACTATCATCCATTCCAACTTCATTTGATTCTTTTATATAGTTTTCTTTCCCTTTGGTTTATTCCAAGTCTGTTCTTTTGTTTTTTATAGTCTGTCTTTTAGATTCACATAGTTCTTGAGGCCTGCTTTTCCTTTCTTAATTTCTTATTACAGTTAATGGCGTTGTTAACTAACTTTTTTGTGGGCTTACTTGATTTATTTGCGGATCTTACAAAATTTAATATGGATTATTTAAGCTGCTGCCATGGGTTTCGTTCTTATTTTTAAATTTTTGTAGAGATTGGTTACATTTTTAGTAGCTAAGAGCCAGAAATTTAATGTAACTTTTATATTTCTGCTTCAAAATTAGACAGTTGTTTTGAAATCTATAATAAATGTAATAATAATATTATTTCTAATTTGTTCATTGCTTAAATTCAATTATATAATCACTTTAATTACTCTTAACTATCTATGAACACTTTTGGTTTATTCTACTATTGTTTTTCTATTGTTTATTCTGCGGCTTACATTTTTTGTGTTTTTTAATCCTTTGTTCAATTTATTTCCAATGTCCTTTCTGTTATTTATTCTAAACTTTGCCATTTCCCTAACCATTTTCACTTGGGGCCATATTGATCTGCTGCTGCTGCTGCTGCTGCTGCTGAATTAGACCGCAAAAATTGCAAAATTTTTATTTAGATTCCACTTAATTGGCATTCAAATTGCCTGTGGCTCATTAACCGCCCTGCCCCGCCACGCCCTCGTCCCCGTCCCCTGTCTCCCCTCTTTTGGATGCTGCTGGTCCCTGTCGACTCTTATGCAATGCAACACATTGCCAGGCACTTAACAATGTCAGTTTTCCGCCCCGATTTTCCCCCGATTTTTCCCTCTATTTTTCCGCTGCAGTCAGGCCATTTAAATGTCATGCACTTGGCGCGCTAGAAACTAAAAAAAAAACTCTAAAAACTAAAACCTAAAACCGACGAAACTACGGTTGTCCAAAGTTGCCAGAAATCGAATTTTTCTGTAACTGGAAATGGGGTTTTATAACTAGATGTAATTACATCATCTGTGGAGTAATTTTGCTATGGAATTTATACACATTCCATTCAACTTTGTGGGTTCTCAGTTAAAATAAAACATAACTCTTAAAACTAAGTACTTGTTTTTATCTCACAAGTGATCTTTGTGGCTCTAAAAATATTCTATAAATTATATATATAAAGAAACTCATACATTCATATGTTAAAATCGTATAATATCATATTATTTTCAAAATAAATATAGCTTAAGTTAAGCTGATATAAGTTTGCTTCGATTTCTTATAGTTTCCATGTAGTTTGAGACTATAACCTTTAAAGTTTAAACTTTAAACTATTTCTAAATTCTTAATTCTTGCTTCGATTTCTTATAGTTTCCATGTAGTTTGAGACTATAACCTTTAAAGTTTAAACTTTAAACTATTTCTAAAGACTTTTAGCAATTCAAATAGTATTACACAACTCAGTTTTCAAGTAACACAATGTTTTATTACTTAAATTTCTGTAAAAGAACAACACTGCTTACTCAGTACTTATTTAAACTATTTTTTGTTATTAAAAAAATCATAATATGTGGTTTTATTATTAAGTTTTTTAGAACTTTTCCCTATAATATTAAATTTTTAATATTTCTAATCCGTTTTTTGAAAAAGTGATCAATGTGAACCTTCTTTTGCTTGGTATGAAAATAAAGTTTATAAAGTGACTTTAAAATAATTTAAGATCATAATTCAATTGTTAAAAACTCAATTTCATGGAATAGTTTAAAAAAATTGTCGCAAAAGGTGCGAGTGAGAGAGAAGAGGGGATGCTCAATTACAAAATAGGGTTTTGTCAGTGAAAGAAAAAAAATAAACCACAAAAGAGGGCAGCAATATTGTAATGAGAAATGCATAACAAAGAGATGGACCAAAGGAGAAAGAGCATCAGAGAGATAGAGAGAGAGAGAGCGAGTGAAGAAAAGACTGATCCCAACACACACACACACAGATGCAGAGACAGGTAGGCGAGATCTTGCTCGAGCGCTTGCTCTTTCTCTGTCACTCTTGTTGGCCGCCTGTCTGGCCATCTCCCTTGCGCAAAATGCAAGTGAATGGTGCAGCAGGGCAACAGCAACAACAAACTGAATATTCTCCTCGTCCGTTTCATTCCTTTTTAGTTTACTTTACTCCACTTCACTTCACTTTTCCTTACCTTTCTTTCCTTGCTTTCTCGTTTTCTTGTATTTTTCGTGTTCGGCAGGAATTTTCGGTAAATTTTGCAACTTTTGTTTTGTTTCTTGAATTTCTCGTATTTCTCACTTTATTATTAATATTTTTTTCTTGGTTTTGGCACTGACTCTTAATTCTTGGCTTTGATTCTTCTAACTTCGCTTTTGCCTTGATTCTTGTGCACTGGCTCACTTAATATTTTTCTCAGCGAATTTTCTTCGTTTTGGTCACAGGAAAAAAATAATGCAGCGATCGGGAGGTTTTTATTCCCGTAGAAAATGGTTTATCCTTTCAATCGTATCGGGAAAAAAACAACAACAACGAAATAAACGAAACGGGAACAACAACAATAACAAGCGGGAAGGAGAGGCAACAACCAAAAAAAAACGCAAGACGTAGGAAAAACACAAGCCGAATTTGGGATGATGTTTAGCGAGCGATTCTCGATTTTATTTACTTCCTTCTCCTCCTTTCCTCTATTTTATTTTCATTACTCCTTCTTATTTGTATTTATTTTTGTGTTGGATTTTTTTTTTGGGAAAAGGCTGGCAATTGCAAGAAGTGCGGGAACCGGTTTTTTTTACAATTTCTCCTTTGGCCACACACACACGCTCACAAACGCGACCGTTGACGAAAAAATATCCGAATTTTTTCAATAAACACCGTTTTTGATATATCGACTGTCCGTCCGACTATATATCCGAGAGCACCGTTCGAAATAAATGTTTCTAAAACATCGATATTGTGTTTTACAATTATTTTTCTCTCCGACCGGCCGCACGACAACGAAAATTGTAAAATTTTTTTTCGAATGGCTCGCTTGCACTTGTATTTATAGGCTTCATTCACAGGCCGAGCCGAGCCGAAGGCTGCCGAGTGGGCTCAAACACGTTCGCTGCAAATGGAACATGTTTGAAAGGCGGCTTCTTGTGTTCGCAACTTCAACTTCAATGAACTCCACACAGCGAGCAACAGCAAAGTGGAACTTGGAGCATCGAACATCGAACAGAGTTCGCTCTTACTGATCTGTGTTCAGTTAACAGTTTTCGGAATTTGTACGTTCTTGTGTTCTGTTAGTGCCATGCTATGAACATGCTTGCAATGTAAAACACATAACAGAGCTAATGTTAGCAACTAGTTCGGGCTTCAATTTACGTTTGAGTTCGAGTTGGAAGTTGTTTCGAACTGCAAAAACAAATATTAATATTTATATTACATTTTGGGTTTATTTTTAGGGGTTTCTAATAAATAGGTGTTGCATTTTTTAATTATTTTATATTTAATGCAAGTTAAGGATTACATTTTTTAATTTTAAGAAATCTTTTAGGAATCCTAAAACTTTTAAAGGGGTGGTAAAAATTATAAAAGATTTTATTGATTTAAAAAATCGTATTCTGTATTATATTTAGAACTTCTTATGCGTTTCTTACTTGTTTCTATTATTTAAGCAATACCAGAAAAGATTAGGCCTTGTTTTAATACATATTTTCTTGATTTTGTGATTTTATAAACACGGTTTATATAAATTAAAATTATATACAAAATGTTCTATGTTGGAAATATCAAATTTTAATTGACAAATTAAATAAAAACACCGCAAAAAATCAATTATGCTTGACCAAAAGTCGGAAAATTCTGTGCTCTGGCATTCAGAGAGACTCGTATCGGGTTTTCTGCTTTTATTTTGGCTTCTTGGCAAGGAGTTGACGACGTCTTTGGACCGGTTCAACAGGATGCAGGAGAGGCCAGAGCCAGAAGTGCTACCAAAACAAAGCAAAAATAAAAGCAAAGTTAAATAAAAGAAAAATAAAAGCTAAGCAAAAGCAAAATTGAAGCAAAGTAAAAGAAAAGCATAAGCAAATTGAAAAAAGGAGTTGTCTCCGTGAAGGAGTTGCTCTTTTTGGTTTCTTGTCTCTTCACCGTTTTGCAAAGAGCAAGGCAAAAAGCAAAAAGCAAGAAGTTAAAGCAAAAAGTAAAAACAAAAACAGAAGGCAAAAAGAAATATCAAAAAGCAAAAAAGCAAACCAACCTGACAACAATTTCAGGCAACTGCTCTTGCTTCGTAAATGTAACTAAAATGGCAAGCGGCGAGCGGCAACAATAATAAACCGGTTGAGGTTCGTGCGCCCAAGGAATGCACAAAAAAGTAAAAAATTTAACATCAACAAAAGCAACAACAACAAAAGCAGCTACAACAAAAGCAGCAACAGAAACAGCAGCAAAATGCAATGCAGGAAAAAATAGCAAGAGGCGCACAAGGCATTGGACTGAAGAAGTACAGGAAGGCCTCTTTCAGGTCCTTAAAAATATGTCAATTACATTAAAGTTGCAAATAAAATGCTAAAAAATATTTACACAAAAATAATTAAAACGGAAAAAAGAGAACAAACTAAATTTATCATAAAATAACTAAAATAGATCATTTTTTCAAGCACAATGAATACAAATTTCTTGGCTTTAAAAATTCACAAATAAAAATAAATACATCTAGACTTTTTTAAATTGAAAAGATACATTAATTTTTAAAAAGTATGAAAAACAGCTGTTTCCTCTGTTAGCCTTGCTTCACTGTACCCCTAAAAGCCTGGTCAGTTTGAAGTTCTTGTCAACCTCCCTCCCCCTCCCCTTAGTGGCAAAGGCAAAAGAAAAAAAAGAAAAAACAAAAGCAAAACCAAAAGGAATGACATAAATCTGCGTGGCAAACAAAAGACTCAAGCAACGAACGTGCCACAAAAAGCGTGTTGCAACAAAGGCTGAAGCTGAAGCCTGCAACTGGATTACTGTTACACGAAAACACCACAAGAGCTAGAGGGAGATAGAGAAAGATTGAAAGGGGGAGAAAGAGAGCAGAGAGAGAGAGAGAGAGAGAGAGAGAGAGAGAGAGAGAGAGAGAGAGAGAGATAGCAACAGCTAGCGACATGGGGTCAAATGTTGCGGGTCCGCGAACTTTTGTAGGTGAATTGACTTCTGCTCGAGTCACCCCAAAAATGGTAAATGGGTGGGAAGCAATCAGCGGGAATGTCGAAAAAAAGCAACATAAAAACAAAACAAAAATACAGAAAAAATAAGAAAAAGATAAAAGAAAACAAGCAGAAGAGATTACTGAATGTACAGCAAAATAATTGATAATAAAATAATCGCAAAAAAATTAAAGCAGGTTTAAATATTATTATTTAATGCGCCTATATTTTATATAAATAATATTTAAATTATTGATAGTTGGTGCAGTAACTTCAAAGTATTCAACTTATAAACGTCATGGTATTAAATAAATCATATCAATTAAAATTAAATAAAATTAAATAAAATTATGCAGTATAATAAGACTAATATACGTATTAGGTATACGTATTAAATACAAGTTAAGCTAACTAAATAGATTAAATAATGTATTTAAAGTACAAATTAATAGAATTTTATATAGGTAAAGTTTTAAAGGAAATATATATTCTTATCTCTTATTTAAAAAATGTATTGTCAGTATTTTATGTGACTTTAATATTCTTTTTTATACAGAGACTGTTTAGCTTAACAATAATCCTTGTTTAAGTAGTATCATCATAATATATATATCATCATATCATCAACAAACCCTATTAAATGTATATTAAAGTTAATTTACCTTTAGTTGAACTAAATAAGGTGCCTAATGACACTATAATTTTCATAATTTAAGGTCATTCATAGCATACTATTTTTAATGAAGAATAATAATTAAAGCAACATTAAAAAATGTATACATATTAAAGCCCTGTGACAAAGTCAAGTTAAATTATCTAACTTTCGTAAGGTAACTCCTTAAATATTAATATTCATTATTTCATGTTCATATCTTACACAAATTGACAAATTAATAAGTATTTTGAAACCTTTGCAATTATTAAAAAATATAATTTTGACAAGGAAAATGTAGCCAAGCCTTATTAAAAACCAAAAAATGGCAACAAGTGACCATTTAAGCCCCCATTTGTTGGCCGAACTCTGAACTTTATTGTCTCTGCCGGTCGCCAGTTGGTATTTTCGTATCACCCGAGACTCATTTATTGCTGCGGTTTTGGTTTTTTTTATAATTTTGTTGTTGTTTTCCTATTGACTGCGGAGGTTCTTTTCTTTTTTTTCATTTTCTTTTTCTTTTGGCCACTTAGAAGCCGCCAAACAAAACACTCGGCATTTCGGGGCAAATTTGCTGCGCAGCACAACAAAAAAATATGACCCAAAACGCGGGAGACAAGCAGCGGCAGCAACAAAAACAACAAACACACAAAAATAAACAAAATGAAAAAATGAAAAAACCGCAAAATAAATAAGACGAAAATTATGCAAAGCGCAGACAAATGCGCAAATTTGAAAAATGCCACAGCAACAACAATGGCCAGCAGCTGCTGCTGCGCTTCAAGCCCTCTCCCCCCAGCCCCTTTAAAAAAACTTAAAAAAATATTTAAAAAAAAGTAGTGCGGGCGCTAAGTCGGGAAGTTTTCTGCACTGAATTAGCAATACTCTAATTAAGAAAGTTACGTTTGAACTAATTTTAAAATATTTTCTTAGATAGAAACAGGGAAAATCTAAAACTAAACATAATCACCTATCAATTGCATTTTCTCTCCAGTTAAAGCTTTTGATTTTCTTGGAATGACCCTATTTATAAGTTCGACGTGTAAGTATGTGTTTTGCCCTTTCCAAAAAATTAAATAAATAAAAGGTATGAGCAGTAAGTAACTATAAGCAGTATGCAACTATGATTAGTAAGTATTTATCAACATTAAGTATCTATGATCAATAAGTCACTATAATCAATAAATAATTATGATCAGTAATCAACTATGATCAGTAAGTATCTATGACCACTAAGTATCTATGACCAGTAAGTAAGTATGATCAGTAAGTATCAATGAACATTAAGTAATTATAAACATTAAGTATCAATGAACAGTAAGTAACTATGATTAGTAAGTATCAATGAACATTAAGTATCTATGACCAGTAAGTAACTCTGTACAGCAAGTAACTATGACCAATAAGTATCAATAAACATTAAGTAACTATGATCAGTAAGTAACTATGATCAGTAAGTATGCATGATCAGTATCTAACTTTGAACACTAATAAACAATGACTTGCAACTTTTGTAACACAACACATATCTGAGACTTGGCTGGTAGAAGTCACTTCGTTCCGGGGATGTTTGAACCAGTTGGGAATCATATGCCCAGATGTGCGAGATACATTTTGGAACAAATTTAAGGGCAAGCTATTTGAATGAAGCTACTGAACTTTTCTTCTATATAATTTTACTAGTATATAAGTCGGATCATTGCGAATCGGTGGACTATATATATACATATATATAGCTGCCGTAGGAACTATCGGAAAATTTTAAGAAAAAAATTATAACTTTTCCAGTTTTCAGCAGATTTTCATCAAATTAATATATTAATTTAAAATTTTGTGTACAATTTAATAAAAATCGTACTACTATATCATATAGCTTCGGCTATGTGACTAGTAGCATAAATTAAAGATTTATTTGCACTTCTACCATTAGTAAAAATAATTCTTCAATACTTAAAAAAAAATACAAGATTTATATATTTTATGAACCAAAATAACCTATATAATTTTTAAAAGCTCTAAAAAGAAAGAGCATACAAAAATCCCCACAACTATAAATTTAAAGTTTCCTGGTCGACTTTGCCGGCGCTTGACTTTGCTAATGGGCCTCATTCGCCGCTCAACTTGGCTATATGCTATATTTCTTTTTCAGTTTTCTGTTTCGGTTGGGTTT